CAAGCCTTTTCTTCCAAGCCCTATGCTCTCTGCTCAAAGCCCCAAACACTGGATGCTCCCGAATCAGCCTTGCCAGGTAACTGAATCTCTATCTGCTTTGAACCTCAATCCAACCCAATAGTTCTTTTTCTAATTTTACAATAAAAAATTTTATGTTTTTATTCTTACAAGTGCAGAGAGACGTAAAGAGTCCTCTAAAGGTATGTGTTTTCCACCGAGAAAATGAAATGCAAGAAGAGAAAGCAATTGAACAGGACTAGCTCTGCAGATCCTTCTCATCATCTCCCCTGCTTCTAACCCTCTACTGTGTTAGCAGGCCCAAAGTGTGCCTGGGTCCTTCCATGAGCCACCCTGGGACTAGCTTTCAACAGACAGGAAATCCTCTACAGGTGAAAGAGTTCTGTTCCAAGAGCACATTCGTTAAGTCCAGTTTGTTCATAAGTCCAACAAAGTTAGCCTAGGTACCCAACTAACAGAATGGGCTATATAGTACTGTACTGTAATAGGTTTATAACACTTTCCATGGCAACCCACTCCACTACTCTTGTCTGAAAGATTACATGGACGGAGGAGGCTGGTAAGCTATAGTCCATGGGATGGCAAAGATCTGCACACAGTTGAGCAGCTTCACTTCTCATGAATCAGGCTGCTTGTCACACAAGTAACACACAAAAAAAACAAGAAAGCACAAATAATTCAGCATGTTAAATCTTATAACACAGTACCTTGGAAAGTACACTAGTACCAGCTGTATCATCGCAGCGTTGACGCGTGCTTCCGGACACCCTGGGTTTGAAATAAAGATACTGCACTATGGTCGTCTATACAGCTCTGTACAGTGACATACACAAAAGCACAGCCACTCGTGGAGGATGCACTCAAGTGACAATGCACAGCCAGACACGTGAACTCACTCATGTGACTGGATGTGCGAGCACACGTGCACATCTCTGAAAGTTCGCAACTTGAAGGTTGGTAAGTAGGGGACTTACTGTATAGTAATCAAATGCTCCCATACTTGCAGCAGGCACGCTGGGGATACAAAGATGATACAGGAAAAGTGTCTGTCCTTAGGGAGCATGCAGTCTTTCCTGAAAGCTGGATACACGCATCACAAGAGACTGTACAACACCGCCGGGGTCGATAAAGAACCACAGAGCTAGCGTAGATGAGGACAGGCAGGGAAGGTCAGTTGCTAGTGGGCAGTGTTTCCGCTGGAGGTGAGGTAAGTGGTACTTGCCCTTGGATGGGAGCAGGTGCCTTGCTGAAAAAGGACTCTGGTCACACCAGATTAAAGTACTGGGCTAAGCCAAGGCAAACAGCATTCTCTTAACAAGCTACACAGCATCGTGAATCTCCAGAGAAGGGGAAATTATATGGAAGGTTTCTGAAACTGAGCTGGCCATGAAATCTTTCCTCCCTCCTCCCCAGGAAATATCTTATATTCCCCGGAACATGGTTTGGGAGTTGCTGAAACAGGGTAATCTAAGTTTTGTTCTGACCTCAGCAATGTGAAACATGCAACCAACAAAGGCAGCATCTTTCCTTTTCTCCTTAAGTCAGTAACAAGATACGAGGGTTTGGGGGATGGTTTTTTTTGTTTTTTTTGTTTTTTTTTTGTCTTGCCAGAATTCTTTATTTATTTACATTAAAAAAGAAAAAAAATACATGTATATAAAACCACCAACAAAGGTTTCACTCTCCTTTGTGTTAACAGACTTCAGACTCAGCTTTTACCTTGCTGGAGGGAGAACTTAATTACTTACAGGTTTTTCTAGAAGAGTCCTCAGTTCAACCCTACCACAGTTTACACTGCAGCCCACATTACAGAACTCCACTGGCATTTGGCTCCTCGGCGTCCCTCTTTAGAGTGGTAACGCTGTGCTTCCAATGATATACACAGAAAAGTTTAGGAAATACCAGCTGCTCCAGACAGCATGGATCAGAGAATGAGCCCCTCCGCCCTAAAATTTACACAATTGGTTTGTGGGTGGGCAGGAGGGGCGATTTCCTGGCACTCAAACCAATTGTGTGCGTCCCCTCTCCGGTATCAGGGGCCAAAAGGTCAGTGCTTATAAGTGAATTCCTCTGGAAAATAGGGGCCTCCAGAAGGGGCCCTGGGGTGTCAAAGAAACTGGAAAAGACCAGGCAGATTCTCACTCCCATAAGGAAAACGTCAGGAAAGAAGCACATTTCTTTCCAAAATTGCTTATAAATGGTTAGCCAACAAATTCCGGCTTGTTCATGATTTATAAGTGAGCCCGCCAAGTCCAGAAATGACAGGCTTCTCCGGTGCACCTTTCCCCGCGCACAAATAATTGGTACCTGAAGCCTGCCGCCCACTTAAGAGGCCGGCTCTGCAACCGCGCATGCGCGGTCTAAAGGCCAGTGGCGCCAAGAGTGATGCTTCCGACGGGCGTAGGTAACATGAGACCCAGCGGCCCCTCCACTTGCTCCCTCCCTCTGTGCAAAGAGGCTCTCCACTCCCAACCAGAGCCCCATCAAGGCCAGACTGTGCCCTCAAAGTGGACAACGGTCTTTCCCTTCCCTGGATGGGCCTCAAAAACCAGTGTTTCTAAAGAATACTAGAAATGGCGACACCTCCCCCGCAGTAAAAACACTTTTATGGATGACTAATCAGCAATAAAGCTGCAGATGACCTGTCTGCAAAATCTTCAGTGCCTGGAGATCTAAATTACTCTCATCTTTCTCCCCTAAAAATTAGGTATAATATAATTTCAAGCAATGCAAGAGCAATTTCTCCCTTCATTGGATATCAAGCTCAAGATGTTACAGAAAAAAGAAATAGCTTTTACCGCTGATATGAGAAATTTAAAAGAGAGACAAGTGTGAGCAAACAAAAGCTGTCACATCAAATACTGTGGGGGGGAAAAAATCTAGAAAAAATGCCAGAAATGCTCAAGTCTAAATAAAGTCATTTATTTGTTATTTTAACCCCTTCACCGTCAGAGTTATTGGCAGGCTAGTTAATTCTCTGCAGGTGGGACTGACTGAAGACAGCTCTCTTGTGCTTATAAAAAAAAAAAAAATCATTGTATTGCAGCATGTTTCTCTTAGTTCTCTGAAATCGCAAAGGGTTTCCAAACAGAAACAGGATGGCACTCTTGCCCCTCTGTGGGTATCATTTCTTCAGAGAATTCAATCTCCTCCAATTTCCACCACATTAAGCAAAGAATCTAGACCATGAGGTCTCAGAGGGCAGCAGCCACACATGCTGTATGCTTCTGGTAGCCGGTAGGTATCTGGTAGAATGTGGTGGCAATTATTTCTTGAATTTTGTATTCTAAACGTGCAACTCAAATGTAAGATGCTTTCTGTATGGGGCTGGGGTGGGGGGAGGGGGGAACTCTACGAAGTCCCCCCACCACCCAGAAGGAAACGTGGAGAAAACGCAGACTGGAAAGATTTGGGGTTCACCCCTTGCTTCTTTTTGGCCACGTTCATAAGCTCATATCCTCAGTCAAGATTATAGGCTTTCATTAAAATTGAGAAAGATTAAGTTGGAAGAATACTGCTACTGAAACTCTACAGACATGGAGTATTTCCAATTCACTGAGGACTCGCTTTGTGCGCTACCGTGGACCTAGGGTGGGGTAAGTCACAGCCGCCATCCTCAAAAAATCTGCCCCACTTGAAAAAGAAAAAAATATATCTATATAAAGTCATATTTAAAACGATGTAAAATAAAATTAAGATATTCACATTTAAAAATCTACCTTCCTCCACATCTCACTCACTCCCCACCCAACATGGTAAAGTTTCTGTCTCCAGTAAATTCCTTTGGCACTGGTTTCTAGGCCCCCCCCAACTGAGAGACTTCCACAGACCCAGCTCCTACCACGGCCAGACGGAGCCCGTCAGCCCAGCACCAAACCCCCCAAAGTCACCAGGCCCCCCCACCTCTGCAGCCCTGCACCCTGAGGCCTCCCCTTCACCAAACACCATCCTGGTTTCCCACTCTTGCAGCTCACGCCCACCCCACAGACCAGGGCTCCCCCCTCTCCTGACCACGGCGCACCTGTGCCAGTCCAGCCCCTGGCGGGGTCCACATCTGACTGCCCTGCTAGTGACATGAACACCTTGCAGGCAGGGACCCAGCTACTTTGCCTTGGAAGCCCCAGGGCCTCGTACTGGGCGTGAGGCAGGGCAGATCCTCAAAGTGGGGCTGAGGGAGTGATGCTTCATCTATCCATCAAAGGCATTTAACAGGTGATGTTAGCTTTCAAGGAGCTTTCCTGGTGGCTCCGAGGTAAAGAATGTGCCTGCAGTGAAAGAGAGAGCGGATTCGATCCCTGGGTTGGGAAGATCTCCTGGATGAGGGCATGGCAACCCACTCCAGAATTCTTGCCTGGAGAATTCCGTGGACAGAGGAGCCTGGTGGGCTAGAGTCCATGGGGTCTCAAAGAGTCAGACACGACTGAGCAACTGGAGCATGCTGGCATGTTAGCTTTCAAAGTGAACCTGGATTAACGTGGTGCTATTGGTGCTTTTGAACTGTGGTGTTGGAGGAGACTCTTGAGAGCCCCATGGACTGCAAGGAGATCAAACTAGCCTATACTAAAGGAAATCAGTCCTTAATATTCATTGCAAGGACGTATGCTGAAGCTGAAACTCCAATACTTTGGCCACGTGATGCAAAGAACTGACTCCTAGAAAAGACCCTGATGCTGGGAAAGATTGACGGCGGGAGGAGAAGGGGACGACATAGGATGAGATGGTTGGATAGCATCACTGACTCGATGGATATGCCTGAGCAACTTTACTGATGATTTTCTTTCTTTCTTTCTTTTACCGATGATTTTCAAAGTTATTCACAAATATGATGAGCAAGCAGCGCCCATAGGCGCCTTCCCCCAAAAAAAGACAGACTCCTTGGGCCCATGTGACCATTTCTCCATACTCTCAACCCACCCCCCGCCACCCATGTCCGTCCCATCGTGCTGTGCCTTTATTCTAGGACTTTCTAGGCTGTTCCTTACCTCCTTCAGTGGTTCCTCCGTGGTCCCAGGGGCCTTGTGATGACCACTTGCTTCTCTGACATGCTCCATCTTGAGATCCCTGGGCATCGCGAGGGAGCCGGGCTGAGGGGCCCTCCTGGGCGCGATGGGACCCTCCTGTGCGCGGAAGGACTCGGGGAAGCGAGGGCAGCGCGGCGACGTGTTCGCCGCACACACATTCTGCTGTGGGTTTCTGCGTAGGAGGCCGAACGAGGCACGCGCTCTCTGAAAGTCTAGAATTTGTGGTTTGTGTTATCTCACAACTTCATATTTGGAAGAGGTATTTTAATTTCTTCTGAGTTGTGAATAATTATGTAATTCTGCCACCTTCTTAAAGCTAAGACGTTTCAGACTGACTCCTGTCCTCGGGGGCTGACAGCCTCAAGGGAACTTGGCTTTTTTCCCTTGGGTTCTGAGCATGTGTGTGCCAAACAAATTCTTTAGTCCGTTAAAACAACGGTTCATGATGGAGAGCCATCCTACACACAGGAGTAAAGTCCCTCTTCCCTCTCAAAATTAATCCTCAGAAATCACCACTGAAAAGCAAACACGGCTTGCACTCACCGCGGAGGCCTCTTTCCGAATTGTTTCCCTTCTACTGCAGTTTTTGGAGCCGCTGAGTTTCTCAAAGTTCTGTTTCCCCCTTGTTTGTAAATTAGCTGTGTGTTCTTCGAAATTTGCCTGTGGGTCTTCTTGATTTTTCTGCAGCTGTTAAAGAACCTAGGGAAAAGTGAAAGAAGGTTGCATTAGCAGATGCCATTGTGATGGTCTCCGTGGTCTACTGATGTATTTTCTAAACAGTACCTAAATGGCACTTCTCTGTCAAATGCCTCCTATTCTAGACTCATCCCTGTCAATCACTCGGTCACTTGGCCATCAATAGTTTGAGCACCTACACCACCCCACACCCTGCTCTGAGCACTGGAAAGGCAGAGCAAGCAGGCAGATGAAGTCAGGCACCCCGAAGGGCCATGTGAAGTTTATACTGCAGTATCACCCATAGCTGACTCCCAGACATTCACACCAGAAGGTGAACACTTCATTAAATACAGACAAGGGATTGTTAGTCATTAGGATGCGCTTATCTTTTTTCCCCCAGGGCTTAAGTTTTTTTTTCTCTCGTATGTATTTCATATTCCTAGCTGGAGGAATATCAAAAGAATCTGAATATCACCATCTGGAAGTTATGCCATGGACTCCAGTGGGCAGGATGAGAGCTGAGTTTCCCTTCTTCCTTTAAAAGTGTATTTCTTCTGCTTCGAAATGAGCACAAACATGTCTGATTCCCTAATGAGAACAACCCAGAGCCTAAAAGTCACAGAGGCATCACCTCCCACCCCTCACCCACCCAGGTTCTTGGGACCCTTCCAATGTGGAGGGATTGTTTGGGGGGGGGGGCGGTTCCTTTGAGGATATTTGATCATCAGTGACTTCACTGAGGAGCTTCCCAGGCGGCACTAGCAGTAAAGAACCCGCCTGCCAGTGAAGGAGAGGTAAAAGACCCAGGTTTGATCCCTGGGCAGGGAACAGCCCCTGGAGGTGAGCATGGCAACCCACTCCAGTACTCTTGCCTGGAGAATCCCATGGACAGAGGAGCCTGGTGGGCTACAGTCCACAAGGTCACAGTCAGATACAACTGAAGAGACTTAGCATGGATGCATGTCTGACTTCACTTAACCACTAAATCTAATGTGCTGAAATACACAAAGTCAGAAATGCAGTACCTGGCTACTGCCGCAAATAGTCTGTTGGTCTGTCCCAGGGATTGTGTGAGGAAGTCCCAGGGAGCCATTCTGGTCTCAGTAGCATGGAACCAGCTATCAGTATTTCATTAAGTGTCACAAACAATCTGCTTGTAGTGTGGGTCCCATCCCTGGGTCGGGAAGATCCCCTGCAGAACCGAATGGCTACCCACTCCAGTATTCTTGCCTGGAGAATTCTGGGGAGAGAGGAGCCTGGCAGACTACAGTCCATGGGGTCTCAACGAGTCAGACACCACTGAGCAACTTTCACTTTCAAGTGTCACTGCCCTTTACTAATATTCCCCAAATTGGTGTTTAACTTGCTCCCTTTGAAACTACTGGTATTCTTGAGAAATGGAGGATTGTTCTTTGCAAATGTTCACTTTTTCTCTCTCTCTTATAACACTTGCACATTGATAAGTCTCTTCCTATCCATCCAGAAGTGTTTTTATTCTCTCTTGACTTGGTTTTCTCAGGCTCCTGAGAAAGACTCTCTCAACACTAGGCAGGTAAGAGGGCATGATAAACCTAGAGTGCTTTTTTAGTTAAAGTGGTATTTTTAACTCTCCCCTATCAAGTGTTAACTCACAGTTCTTATGTCTGTAGGGTCAGTATTTATAACATTAGTTCTCCCTTACATGTTCACAGGACAAATCCAGTCTGGAGACATCCTCTGATCATCATGGGTGAGTGTTTCTGACTTCCATGGCTATAGCTGGCTCTCTGTCAACAGAATTGTATTTCAAGCAGAAGTTCAAAACACTTACCATTGTGACATCTGCCCAGTAGTCCTAATTTACACCCATTCATAGTTATTATTACAGATTTGGTAACATAATAAGCTGCCGTTGAAAACAAAGAATCCCCAGATTCCTCCTTAATATTGAGAAGCACGCACGCTCTTGAAGTCTAGCATCTGGTGTGAATCCGCCCTCAATGGTGGACAAGGCATTTAGCCTCATGGAGCTGCAGTTTCCTCGGCTATAAGATGGAGATAATAAGAGGCCCCGTCTCACCAGATGGAGACCAGAAATTGATGAGTCAACACAGGCAGAGCCCTCAGAAGAGTGTCAGGCCCAACCATGAAGTCAGCTCTCATTAAATCCCTTTAGCCTCAAGACTAAGTAACTGAAGACACCTCCGGGACAGACAGTAGGAGCTGCAGAAGAATTTAACGTGACACCTTATGAAAATGTAACACATAATCCTGCTTCAGAGCTTCCATCAAATATGTTGTCTTTTCAGGACCTACCATAGAGCACAGAGAATGCTGCTCAGTATTCTGTAGTAACCTATCTGGGGAAAGCATCTGAAAAAGAGTGGATGTACGTATAACTGAATCACTTAGCTGTGCACTTGACACTAACACAACACTGGAAATCAACTATACTCCAATACAAAGTAAATATAATTTTTTTTAAAAGTGTCTCTTCACACACAAGATTCATGTTGAGAGTCTGTCTACACACACAAACTGCATTCAGTATTACCCAGATGAAATCAAACAACTGCTCATTAACAGTGGTTTATACAAACTGGTTTATATTTGTGGATCCAATCCTCAACCTATTTTTTTTTTACCGTATTTATCTCAAATATGTCATCAGAAGGGTTTTTAGTGGACAGATTTGAACCTAAGATATAGCTTGAGAGTAAATCAATTGTATATATTGTGTGTGTTTCCTAAAATATGGGGCATGTAAGATATTTTAACACTGGGCCTATTCTATTGTCTATAGACAAAGACCCTCGACATTTACAATATTATCTTGCCCGGTTATCAGTGATGAACTGGGGAGGGAGGCATCTGAACGTAAAAAAAAAAAAAAAAAAATTCTGGGCCATAATGTGAGAAGTTGGAAGGGCCTTTTTGTGGCAAAGCAATTTATGATGTGAGCTGGCTTTCTGTAATCTCCAGCACAAAGATGACCCCAAGGTAAGAAACGCTCTTGTGAAAAACGGCACACTTAGCGAAATAGATGTACAGAAGGCAGGACTGGACGAAACATGTTCCTACTTCTATCAGACATCCAATTGTTTTATCTCCCTCCGGCACTTATAAAGAAGTAACTATTTCAGAAAGCAATTGCCTCCTTTTCAGCTAGGATGTGGTATTATTATACTCAGCAGCCTCGGTCTCCCACCCGGCTTCTAAAGGGGAATGGCAGGTCATTGCAACGAACCTGGGTGACATGAGCTAGTCTTCACACAACAGAAGGGAGAGGCAGTTCTGCAAGGTCCCAAGGCTGTCCAAGGCCCAGGGCTGGGGGGCAGATCTCCTCTGTGGCCCACGTTCCTCCCTTCCACCCGGCTCTTGACTCCCTCTGCCAGGGCCTAGCTGGCACCAGAACCACTTGCCAGGTGCACCTGGGGTGCTGGCCCTGGGGCCCCGGCTGCCCCCTTCCACCCGGAGGAAGAGAGGGAAGCCCTCCCCCCGCCTCCCGCAGGGGCGCAGGGGCCACAGCTCTGAGCCCCCATCTCCCAAGCCTCTCCTAAACAGCCCCCTGCTCTTCTGCAGCTGACAGAGAGGCATGTGCCCACACGCAAGAGCTCTCAGTTTCCATGGTGGTGTTTATGGTCATTCCCAAGCAGATATAGAGCTGATGCCAGCCCTGCTGTTATTATCTGGCAGCCCACAAAATGTATAGAAAATGCATAAAGTGGCTGGATACACTAAATGTGCAGACAAACACACAGACACATAACCCAATAACTTCCACGGGCAACCAATTTTTAAATCTCTAGGACTCGGATATGCAAAATGTACATAATTATATTAACTGATTATAAGTAGTACTCTTGACGTGCCATTTGGGAAAAAATATATATATCACTCATAAGACAAATAGGGCTTCCCTGTGGCTCAGACCATAAAGAATCTGCCTGCAGTGTAGGATCCCTGGGTCGGGAAGATCCCCTGGAGAAAGGAATGGCAACCCACTCCAGGATTCTTGCCTGGAGAATTCCACGGACAGAGGAGCCTGGTGGGCTACAGTCCATGGGGTCGCAAAGAGTCGGATACGACTGAGCGACTAACACACATCAGACAAATACATAGTCACCTTCATTCTCCTAGTTTTGTTTTTGTGAGATCAAGTTTTCTCCTTAACGACTGATTATAAACATGATCACACACTCGATTACCTGTTGTGCTGTGTCGGGCACCACGCTGGGTCCATCTGGGTCACAGATCTTACCCAGCGCAGCTCGAGGCTGCCGAGCCTGGCCAGGCCTGAGGCAGTCAGCTTCCGGGGGCCAGGCTTCCAGTTCCCAGGCGATACCCATATTCTCTCTCTCTTTTTTTTTAAATTGCACTGATTTTTTTTTTTTTAAGATTTTTTTGATGTGGACCATTGTTAAAGTCTTCCTTGAATTTTCTATAATAGTGCTTCTGTTTTATGTTTTGGTTTCTTGGCCTCCAGGCATGTGGGATCTGAGCTTCCTGACCAGG